AGAAGAGAGAGGGAGAGAAAGATAGAAACATCATTGATAGAAGAATCATTGATCAGCTGCCTCCTTACATGCCCCACATTGGGGATTGAGCCCACAACCCAGGCATATGCCCTGACTAGGAATTGAATTGTGATCTGGTGTGTAGGTCGATGCGCAACCACTGAGCTAGGCTGGCAGGGTTCCCTGCCCTTTCCTTTAAATATATATATATATATATATATATATATATATATATATATATATATATATATTGATTTCAGAGGGGAAAGGAGAGGAAGAGAGAGAGAAACATCAGTGATGAGAGGAATCATGCCCCCTACTGGGGATCAAGCCTACAAGTTGGACATTTGCCCTTGACTGGAATTGAACCCAGGACCCTTCAGTCCACAAGCTCACACTCTATCCACTAAGCCAAACTGGGTAGGGCTGCCCTTCCTTTTTTAAGTATGTAAGAAGTAGCTTTATTTTTCTATCTTAAAGATTAAAAATGTTTATTGTAAAAATTTCAGACAATATGTATAAGTATAAAAAAAGGAAAATAATAATTACCCATTATCCTACTACCCTATAGTTATAACCACTATATCCTAATTTGTGAGGCTTGGTACAAAAGAAACAAGCAGGGCTCTTTGTTTAAAAATTAAGAATTTCAAGACAGTTACAATAGAGCATTTAACCAGGTAAGCTAAATGGGGCACTATGGACAAATCACCAAGCCCATGAAACCAGCATGTGGATATATATAATTCCTTCCATATTTAAAAAAGGCTTTCCAATTAATGAAATGCAATAGGCTGCCTTAAGAGAAATAAACTCTGGGGTTATAAAGGTCAAAGCTAGGCTTTTTTTTCAGGGATCCTATAGTGTAGATGAATATGCTGGAGGTTGGTCTACAAGATCTATTAGTATATTTTTCATCTGTAAAGTCAGTGGTGCTATATCTTCAGCCAAAAAGATTTGGTTTGAGACCTGGCTGGGTAGGTCATTGGTCCCTGGTCAGGGCACATACAAGAATCAACCAGTGAATGCATTATTTTTTTTATTTTTATTTTTATTTTAATGTTCTAAGATTCTTTTTAAAAAAATATATATTTTATTGATTTTGTACAGAGAGGAAGGGAGAGAGATAAAAGAGTTAGAAACATTGATGAGAGAGATTTACTGATCAGATCAGCTGTCTCTTGCACACCCCCTACTGGGGATATGCCCGCAACCAAGGTACATGCCCTTGACGGGAATCAAACCCGGGACCCTTCAGTCCCCAAGCCGACGCTCTATCCATTTAGCCAAACCGGTTTGGGCCAGTGAATGCATTATTAAGTGGAACAACAAATTGGTGTTTCCTTCTCTCTTTCAAATCAATAAATTAAAAATAAAACATGGCTTGGCCAGTGCAGGACTTCTGAAGCCTGGACTTTGGGATGAAGACATTCAGTGACAGTGATCAGTGCTGAGTAGGGTGGGAGAGGTTATCTTTGCTCCTTGGGGCTCTCTCAACCTTGTCACCTGTATAGTGGGTGTTGGGCCTGGGCTGAGCATTGATGGACCCAGGCCTTTGGGGATGTTTGTCAACGACCTCCACGAGGCAGGTGTGGGTCCAGCCAGCAAGAGCTGACAATATAGATGATGAGGGGGTATCCTGTGGACCCTCGTGTCTAAGGACAATCTAGTTGATTTAGTTGGGGGCACAAGGTCCACTTGTCTATTCCTCCTCCTTTAGGTCATTGCTGTTCTCCTAAACAAATGACTCTTTGTACTCTTCTTCCAAGTTTTATGTGAGTTTGAAAGTATTTCAAAATAAAATGTTAGATTAAAATAAATCCTATCTAATAAAGAGAGAATATGCTAATTGAATCCCCTCCCTCAACGATGGTGGCACCCACAGCCAATAAGGAGGGAATATTCTAATTGACTGTCCTGCCCTCAAAGATGGAGGCAGCCAGAGCCAATAAGGAGGAAATATGGTAACTCTCCTGCCCTCAAAGATGGTGGTGCCAATAGCCCATGGCTGCCCAAGGCTCAGGTAACCAAGGCTAGCCGAGACTTGTGCTGCCAGCAGTGGCAGCAGCAGAGGTCTGATGATACATTGCCTTCTCCTGATTGCTGGTCGCCTCCCACTCCTGAGGGCTCCCAGACTGTGAGAGGGGGTAGGTCTGGCTGAGGGAACCCCCTCCAGTGCATGAATTTTCTTGCACTGGGCCTCTAGTAAGTAAGTAAGTAAGTAAGTAAGTAAGTAAATAAATAAATAAAACAAAGAATGGGTTCATGAACAATAATCATCACCTGTAAATTGCCTATTTTCTTAAATTATGGAACCTTGCTTCTTTTGTTATTTTGCTATGCCTTTTAATAAAAAAATATTTAACATCAATTAAGGTGGTAAATTTCTTTAAAAAGTTTGGTATTACTTGTATGGCAGGATGCTACTGAAACCCCAAAGAGCTTTACCAGGTTCTAGAACATTGGTACCTTACTCAGTTATAGATATTCAAATGATGATTTGAATTTCCTGATATTTCTTATTATTTTTAAATCTATTGTTTTTTCATGCAGCTGAAAGACAATATCTATTCTCTTCCCGACTTACTATGGCTAAAGGACTTCCCATGTGTAGGCTGACTCATGACCTTGGATATCCAAGCTGTCAGATGATAAACCTCTTATGTATGTGGAAAAGCACCCCAAAGTTGTTAGCTAGTTGCCTTGTACTTTTAAAACCCAGACATTGGCACATATTAATTCCTGAGTGACTTGCTGAAACTTGATGATTGTAGCTTAATGAGCTGGAAGAGTTTCCCCAAGTGACTGCAAATGTATTTAGAACTAGCTTCCAAATTATCTGTTGCATAGTTTTATACGAACTGCCTGATTTAATGCACATACAAAAACTAAGCAATTTCCTTTCTACATAGTGCAAGGTACTTATCTTTTAAACATTTCTGCTGCAGAAAGAAATGACTTTTCTTGACAGTGGTTTTGACCACTTTGTACAGTCTCAAAACATTCTGTGGGAGAACTAATTGTTATAATGTTACTCAGGAATGATTATCTGTGGACTCTCCTTTCTTCTCTGGCCCTTCACACATCCACACTCCCACTGTTATCTTTCAACTAAGTCAATTTTTTCTTTACCTCTTTGTTCTTTCTCCCATTTTTCTAATACTACTTTTTTTCTGGTGTATTATATATAAATAAGGAAATTGGGTTTGAGCTAGTTTTATTGAAAAAATGTGGTAAGGTGGAATAAATTATTTTCCTTGCAAATTTGAAAATACTTTTTAAAAATCTTTTTTATAATTTAAATTCTTGGGAGGCAAATCTAGAAACTCAAACAGGGCTGTGTTTAATAAGTGATTTTGTTTGAAAGTATAATGCCTTTATTTTGACAGTTTTGTCAAGTGATTAATAACCATCTGTTAGGTTGCTAATTGATATTATGCTGCTTTTGTGACCTCTGTTTTTATTTTCTATCAATTTCTACATCTACACTTCCACCTTTTCCTTTCAGTTAAGCCAAAATTCTCTTTATCTCTCTGTTCTATCTTCTATTATTCTAATTTGCATTCCTCTAAGTTTATAACTTCCTATCTCACATCTGCCAATGCATACATATTCTCATTCAAAGCTTACTTAAAATCTTAACTCCTTTTAAGTGGGTAAAAATAAGAAAATAGCCAAAAGCCTGCTTTATAATTGATTTAATGTTTTTCTAAAAAATCTGTAATCCAAATTAAAGATAAATGCCTCATAAAGCAAAACCAATACTCAACCAATCAAAATTTCCAAAAAGGAAGGTAGATTTATATATTTCAGTCATCCCATTGATACAATGAAGTCAACAATTTAGCTCCTGTTGTGTCCAGAAATATGTTGACAATTAAAGATGCAAACCCAGAGGTAGAAGATGTGGTTATTATCTTCAGCAAATGAATAATCTAGATAAAGATATGATTAATATACCTCAAGCACTTAACAAATAGTTGTAATAACTAGCCTAATTTACCAGAAATATAGGTTGTGTTTTATAGACTTTAAGTGCTATAAGTAATCTGAGAAAAGGGAAGTCATTAGTGCTTGGGGTTGCCAGTGAAGATTTCATGGGGGAAGTGGGTCTTGAAGAAAATGTAGAATTTGGATTAGCTGGACTGGGCTAGAAGACTTGCGTTAGCATTTCTAAGTAAAACAGAATTGCTTAACAAAGACCCTAAGGGAGAAATTAGTTGGTTGTTTAAGACAACTGAAAACTTTGTTCTACAGAGGAGTAGGAAATATAATCAGGTCATTAAATTGGAACAAACTTATCAAAAGTCTTGAATTATAAATGAAGATTTAAGAATTGTTTTATAAAATACTTTTACCTCAGCATTTTAATTAATTGTTTAAATAACTAAATTTCTCTTATATATTAGTATTAGCTAACATTGAGAATTTTACTACATGGTAAGCATTGTTCTAAGTGTTTTTTTATGTAATAATAACTAACTTTATCTTTACAGCAACACTTTGTGGTTGATTATATTTTAATCCCCTTATTTTGCAAAGGGGCATGAAGAAAAGGTTAGGTACAACTGGTTCAAGTTGACATAAGTAAGTGACATCGCAGAGCCAGGACTCAAACCCAGGTAGTCTCTGACCTCTGACATTCTTACCTGTTATATATACAACCTGTTATATGTATTTAAAATATCGATATATAGATATAGATATAGATATAGTATATATCTTGAGATTTGGACAATTAAGCTTGACATTTTTATTGAAGGATCATTTTCTCAACAAACACTACTCACATTGGAACACTATAAAATCTTCGTTCAGAATATATATATATATATATATATATATATATATATATATATTTTTTTTTTATGAAAGGTCTCTATAAGGAAACTTTGGGCTAGAAATTTTAAAAAGTAAATCCATTATTTTTTGTCATTTAAAGTACTATTGATTTCATCTCTTATAAAATTCTTATTTCATCAGTTTCTTTATTACAACAGGGCTTCTGGTTGGGACTCTTGATTCAGTCTTAGACTCTACTGCTAAAGTAGCTCCATTTCGTATTCTACACCAGACACCAGATTCTCAAGTTTACCTGTCAATTGCATGTGGTAAGTATGATTTTTAAAACATACATGTCAAATAAATAAAGACACAAATAAATTGAATAACTATATTTATATTTCCCAGTTGTTTTGATTTAGAAAATAGTTAAATTTCTCAGATTCTACTATGAGAGAAGAGGAAGGCATCTAATTATTTATTTAAGAAATATTACAGATTATTACAGTTTATGAAACATTGATCAGACTCACTAGGGTATTCCACCATGGTTGCTGGCAGGACCAGAGTGAGGGAGTAAGAGGGAGAGTGTGTGAAAGTGTGTGCGTGCGTGCGTGCGTGTGTGTGTGTGTGTGTGTGTGTGTGTGAGAGAGAGAGAGAGAGAGAAAGAGAGAGTCTGATGGACTGCACGGGAGTCTTGGGGTAGGGGCTAGTGGTTCAAGCTTTTTTTGCCAAAGAGCCCCTGCTACTGCCACAGCCACTCCCAGGGCATGACTTTGGCTCAGAGACCATGCCAAATTATAGCAACATGAAAAAAGAAATAGAAACAATGAACTGGGACCAGACAGAAAAGAAAAATAACATATCTGACATCAAGAAGATGTTGGAAGTAATTAAAAGTAGATTGGATGAAGCAGAGGATCAAATCAGCAAATTGGAAGACGAGTAGGAATAAATACTCAATTAGAGCAGCAAAAAGAAAAAAAAACCCCATAATTAAAAAACAGAAAGATAGATGTGAAATGGAATAGCATCAACATTATAAGGATACCAGAAGAGGATGAAGGTGAGCAAGAACCAGAGAACCTGTTTAAAGAAATAATGACAGAAAACTTCCCCAACCTGGTGAAGGAAATGTCACACACGTTCAGGAGGCACAGAGAGTCCCAATCACCATGAACCTAAAGAAACCTACATCTAGATATATCATAATTAAAATGGCCAACATTAAAGACAAACAATCTTAAAGGCATCAAGAAAGAGACAGAAAATTACCTACAAAGGATTTCCCATTAGAATATCAGCTGACATCTCAATAGAAACACTTCAAGCCTGAAGGGTGTGGTATGAGTATTCAAGGTAGTGAAAAGCAAGTGCCTAAATATAAGACTACTGAATCTAGCAAAATTGAAGGTGAAATAAAGAGTTTTCCGGACAAAAAAAAAAAAAAAGAAGAAAGAAAAAAAGAGGTTGAAGGAGTACATTACACCAAATCAGAAATGCAAGAAATGTTAAAGGAACTGCTTTAAGAAGAAGAAAAGGAGAGAGAGGATCATAGGCATTAGGCATAAAGAACATAAAAATGGCAATAAATACCTATCAATAATAATATTAAGTGTTAATAAATTAAATGCTCCAGTCACAATATATAGGGTAGCTGAATGAATAGGAAAACACAACACATATGTATACATATCTAGTAAAAGAGTAATATCCTATCTAATAAAAGAGTAATATGCAAATTTGACCATCGCTCTAACACACAAGATGGCTGGCCCCATGTGGACACAAGATGGCTGCCACAAGATGGCCAGCAGGGGAGGGCAGTTGGGAGGGACCAGGCCTGCAGGGTATTGCAGTTAGGGGTGACCAGGCCTGCAGGGGAGGGCAGTTAGGGGCAATCAGGCTGGCAGGGGAGTGGTTAAGGGGTGATCAGAATGGCAGGCAGAAGCGGTTAGGGGCAATCAGGAATGCAGGAAAGCTAGCAGTTGGGAGCCAGCGGTCCAGGACTGTGAGAGGGCAGTCGGACATCCTTTGAAGGGTCCCAGATTGGAGATGGTGCAGTCTGGGCTGGGGAACACATCCCCCCGAGCACAAATTTCGTGCATGAAATTCATGCACAGGTAGAGTCCCTGGGCTTGGCCAGCAATCAAGGCCAATCTGCGGGGTGACTGGTGGGGTGATCAGGGCCCCTGCTCACACCTGCCTTGGCCTGGCACCACCCATTCATCATCCCACCCCTCTCCCCTTGTCCCCGTCTGTGTGGTGATCAATGGGACAATTTGAAGCCCCTGCTCACAACCACTTTTGGCCTGGTGCCACCCGCTCACGTGATCCATCATCCCGCTGTGGTCCTGCCCTCATTGGGACCCATCGCTCCAGCAGTACTTCCACTGCCTCCTGCTGCCAGTGCCCCATTGCTGATTCCTGCCATGTTCCATGCCGCCCCTGATGTCTAACTCCCAGTTGATCGAATTCCTGCCCATGGGGACAATTGGCATATTAACCTTTTATTATATTGGATATGCTGTCTACAAAAGAACTGCCTAAGAACAAAAACTCACACAGAATGAAAGTGAAGGTATGGGAAAAAATATATTTCATGCAAGTGGAAAGGAAAAAAAATCTAGGATAACAATACTCATATCAGACAATATAGACTACAAAGCAAAGGCTATAACAAGAGACAAAGAAGACCACTACAGAACACTAAAGGGAATGATTTAATAAGAAAATATAAATAACACTTGTAAACATGTATGGACCTAGCATAGAAACACCCAACTACATTAAAAAAAAAAATCTTGATGGGCTTTAAGGGATTGATTGACAGCAGTACAGTCATAGTAGGGGACTTTAACACTCCACTGATATCAGTTGATAGATCTTCAAGACAAAAAATCAACAAGGAAACAGAGGCCTTAAGTGACACACTAGATCAGATAGATCTAACTGATATTTACAGAAGATTTTACAAAAAGCAACAGAATATATATTCTTCTCAAGCTCACATGGAACATTCTCAAAGATAGACCACATGTTAGGACATAACACAAATACAAATTCAAAAAGATTGATAGCATACCAAGCATCTTCTCGGATCACAATGGCATGAAGTTAAAAATCAACTATAATAAAAAACTAAAAAACACTCAAATACATGGATGCTAAATAGTATGTTACTCAACGATGAATGGCTTACCAGTGAGATCAAAGAAGAAATTAAAAACTTTCTGGAAACAAATGAAAATGGACACAAGACCTCTGGGACACAGTGAAAGCAATCCTGAGAGGAAAATTCATAGCATTTCAGGCCTACCTCAAGAAACAAGAAAGAACACTAATAAATTATCTAACCCACAACTAAAAGAATTAGAGAACAGTAAGAAAAGCCCAGAGTAAGTAGAAGGAAGGAAATAATAAACATCAGAGTGAAAATTAATGACATAGTGACTAAAATTCAGTATAAAAGATCAATGAATCCAAGAGCTGGTTCTTTGAAAAGATAAAAAGATTATTGAACCCCTAGGTAGACTCATCAAGAAACAGAGAGAGAACTCAAATAAATAAAATCACAAATGAAAGAGGCAATATAACCATGGACATCACGGGGGGGAGGGTGGAGGGAAGGACTGTAAGCAAATATTATGAACAACTATATTTCATAAAACTGGACAACCTGGAAAAAATGGACAAATTCCTAGAAACATTCAATCTTCCCAAACTCAATCAGGAAGAATCAGAAAACCTAAATAGGCCAATAACAGCTGATGAAATTAAAGCAGTAATTTAAAAACTTTCAACAAATAAAAGTCCTGGACTGGATGGAATTATAGGATAGTTTTACCAAACTTTCAAAGCAGAACTATCATCACCTTTCCTCAAGCTATTTCAAAAAAGTCAAGAGGAAGGAATACTTCCACATTCTTTTTACGAAGCCAGCATTATCCTAATTCTAAAAACAGACAAAGACACTACAAAGAGAGAATTATAGACCAATATCCCTGATTAACACAGATGCTGAAATCCTCAACAAAATATTAGTAAATTGGATCCAGCAATATATTAAAAAGATCATACACACATGACCAAGGAAGACTTATTCCAGGGATGTGTGGCTGGTACAATAATTGCAAATTTATAAACATGTTATATAAACAAATTGGAAAACAAAAATCACATGGTCTTATCATGAATGCAGAAAAGTCTTTCAATGAAATCCAGTACCCTTTTTTGATAAAAACTCTCAGTGAAGTGGGGATAGAGTAATCATATCTAAACATAGTAAAGTCCATATATGACATACCTACAACCAAAATACTACTCAATGCAAAAAAAAAAAAAAAAAGTTTCCCTTTAGAATAGGAACAAGACAAGTATTTTCACTTTCACAAATCTTATTCAACACTAGATGCCTGGTGCATGAAATTCGTGCACATGTGTGTTTGGGAGTGGAGGGTCCCCTCAGCCCAGCCTGCACTTTCTCCAATCTGAGACACCTTGGGAGATGTTCAACTGCCGGTTTAGGCCCCATCCTGGTGCCACCAATTTGGCAAGGGAGGGCAGTTGTGGGCCATCAGGCTGGCAGGAGAGGGCAGTTGGGGGTGACCAGGCCAGCAGGGAAGGGCAGTTGGGGGCGGCCAGGTTTTGAAGGGGAGGGCACTTGTGGGCAATCAGGCCAGCAGGGGAGGGCAGTTGGGGACGATCAGGCTGGCAGGGGAGGGAAGTTGGGGGCTATCAGGCCAGCAGGGAAGCAGTTAAGGGGCGATCAGACCGGCAGGCAGAAGTGATTAGGGGTGATCAGGCAGACAGGCAGGCGAGCTGTTAAGAGCCAGTGGTCCTGGATAGTGAGAGGGATGTCTGACTGTAGGGATCGGGCCTAAATTGGCAATCGGACATCCCCCGATTCCCAAAGGGTTCCAAATTGGGGAGGGTGCAGGCTGGGCTGAGGTAACCCCCTCCCTGATGCATGAATTTCATGCACCAGGCCTCTAGTGTTATATAATAAACGAAAATAAAACTTTGATCAGTTGAGGGACCTGAAACACGTGTTCCATCAGTCCTAATTCTGAATAACTTCATTATTGCTACTGCTATATAACTCCTTTCTTCAACTTATTCTTACTGATTCACCCCACTGTAGGGAAGATGAGAACATCCCCATAAAATACTGTTTCATCTGTAATAACTCACATGAGGAGAATCAAGCCCAAAACTTCTAAGCCTGAAAAATTGAATCCTTTTTAGTTGCCTTCATTCTCACAAAACGCATCATATCCTTGAAGTACTTCAAATATGAAAGGACATCTTTCAGGCAATCCTACATATTTATTTCTCCTGGAGCAGTTTAGATTCTTCCTAATAAAGCAACTCAAAATCTTAAAAAACACCATGACAGTATGTTACTATTTTTATGATGCTATTATAATGTTGCTCTAAATTAGAATCCCAGATTTTTAGCTTTTTTAATATTGAAATACTGTCCTTTCTCTTTCTCTTTCTTTTCTCCACCTCTGTTTTCAAGTAGATATACTTAAAAAAAATTCATGTGACTTTTGGATAGTTCATATGCATCAACATATAGCTACAGCATACAATTAATTTTTTAAAGATGTGTGGCTTGCACAGCTGGCATGGCTCAGTGTTTGAGCCATTGACCTATAAAACAGGAGGTCACAGTTTGATTCCTGGTCAGGGTACATGCCTATGTTGGGGCTTCAATCCCTTTGGGGGTGTGTGCAGTATGCAACTGATCAATGATTCATCATTGATGTTTCTCTCTCTCCCTTCCTCTCTGAAATTAATTAAAAAATTTAAAGAAAAGATTTGTGGCATGCTTTTTACATCTCCCTCTAAATTTCCTTTAGTGTAGGAGTTGAACATTTTCTCATTTTAAACATCATTTAAATTAAATGAAGAAGACACTACACCTGCTGATATTATGAGATGTCTGTAAACTCAACTCTAAACTTGATTGGTCGAAATTATGTAGAAAAAAATGTCCTTTCCACTTTTATTTTTTAAAAGAATAATTATATAACTTAACCCCCAAATTGCACTGATGCAGAAATATAATAGTTACCTACTAATGAAGTTTTCTTATATATAAAAGACCAAAATAAAGGCCTTAAAATTTTCCCATGAATTTTATTTGTCGTTCATTAAAGAAAGATATTGCACTTGGTATGTTTACTTTAATAGCATGAATATGATTCTAACTGAATTAGGCAATTTTGCAGGTTCAATAAATGTTTAAGTGTCACTCTCTATATATTACAAAATATACTAAGAATTCAGGGTATTTCTTTTGATTGAGATTTGTGTAATCTACAGTGCTTGAGAGATCTTAAAAGATATATGGGTTAAATGCAGAAATTGATATTGCAGTGTTCTTCAGGCCAAAGCAACCCAGATTTAATTTATTTAAGCTAACCCCCAAAAAGCCACCTAACCTTGATTCAGCAGGTAACATGGATTTAATCTTGCTACAGGGTTTCTAACCTCTTCCATGAAATTTCTTTTAAGTGACAGGCCTTTTAATTTAAGGGTGGCTCTGAGCAAAGGCTTCATACCTTCTGAAATAAGTTGAATTGCCACAGTTGAAATCTACATTCATACAATGTGTTTAGGGTTGTCACGTGCATGGTAATGCCGTCCGGAAGGATGTCTGGGTCTAATTAGCATATTATGTTTTTATTATTATAAATAGTGTTCATGCCCACATATAGAGATGAAGTAGAGAATAAGTGTAAATACCTTTTTATGAATATCATTTTTGAGAAGAGCATAGTATATAACTTTATTTCTTTTTAACTAAGCTTGTAAATATTGAGCAGTTTTGTTGTGAAGTTTTTCTTGTGTCTTTTATTATCTTCCATTATTAATCAGGAGCCAACAGAGAAGAAATAATGAAGCATTGGGATTGGTTGGAACAAAATATCATGAAGACCTTATCTGTGTTTGATTCAAGTGAAGATATTACTAATTTTGTACAAGGAAAGATAAGAGTAAGTGGCCTGGATATAATTTGTAGATGGAATACAAAAATTGTGACCCTCTTACTTAAGGATTAAAGACTGCATGGAAGGTCAGTGTTGTATTGGCACCTTTCAGGATAGGTAGAAGCGCACATATTAATGTCAGAATCAGTGCTAAAGGAAAAGTTGCAAAGTCAGTGGTTAGTTTTTTGTGCCCTTGTGAGGGCTCTTAGGGACATTTTCATTTTAATATCTTGAGTTTGGAGTTTGAGTGAACACTTCACTCAATCAAAACAATATTTAGCACCTGTATTTGTGGTAATTCTTTGTGAGGAATTAGAAAAAGCCTAATGACAAAATTAAAGAAAATCTCACCTCTGTCCTAAGTATGTAATATGCATACATATACATATGATATGTGTACCTGTGTAGATATACACAGTTGTGTTCAATGAACTGTTTAAATATATGAAATTTTTGTTGTTAGGTAATGATTAATTTTCAGAAAATATTTTGTCTCCCATAGGGATTAATTGCTGAAGAGGGAAAACATTCTTTTGCAAAAGAAGATGATCCTGAGAAATTTCGAGAAACTCTCTTGAAATTTGAAAAATGTTTTGGTTTACCAGAGCAGGAAAAATTAGTGACTTATTACTCATGCAGTTATTGGAAAGGACGGGTTCCTTGTCAGGGCTGGCTCTATCTTAGCACCAACTTCCTGAGCTTCTATTCTTTTTTGTTGGGATCAGAAAGTAAGTGGTTTCTATTGCTTGCCATGATTTTGAACTTTCTGACTGACTTATTAACTCTGTAGTGGTATTAGGTTGTATATAAAGTAATGATTGATATTAATGTTCATTAAACTGTACATTAGAAATTCAGTTGATCTACCCCTGGCCAGGATGGCTCAGTTGGTTGCAGCATTGTCCAGTGCAACTGAAAAGATCCTAGTTCAATTCCCAGTCAGGGCACATTCCTATATTGGGGGTTCAATCTCTGGTGGGGGTGTTTGTAGGAGACAACTGATCAATGATCTCTCTCTCTCTCTCTCTCTCTCTCTCTCTCTCTCTCTCTCTATATATATATATATATATATATATATCTTCCCCCTTCTCCCTCTTTCTTCCTCTCGCTATTCTTCTCTCTCTAAAACTAAAGTTCACCTCATTTAGAAAAAGAATCCTTGTAAGGCTGGTTATTTAACATAGAACCATAAAAACTGTGTATAGACTGCATAATGCCTTGCATATGGTGGCAAGTGAATGAATATGAAATTATGGTGATCTAGCATATAACTCCTTTTCTTCCATTGTTCTAAACTACCTACTTTTCTCAATCTATGCTTTAATCCTTGTTTTAAACATACAATATAAATATAATAGCCATAGTACCATTGTATGTAAAGTAACAGAATAATTTATATCTATTCCTAGACTCACCAATTATTGTATGTTTGTGGTTATGATTCAAAATTATAACCAGTGTTGGACTCAAATATTTTAGTTGTTCATAGCATTTTTCAAGTATGTTACTATTCTTTCCAAAGACCTGATTGATAAATATTACTGAACATTTACAAAATTAATCTGATCTACTTATGACTTTTATTTACAGTAAAACTCATTATCTCCTGGGATGCGGTCTCAAAACTTGAAAAGACTTCAAATGTCATATTGACAGAGAGTATTCATGTGTGTTCCCAAGGGGATAGTCACTATTTTTCAATGTTTTTGCACATTAACCAAACATATCTTCTTATGGAACAGCTAGCCAACTATGCTGTAAAGAGACTTTTTGATAAGGAAACATTTGATAATGACCCAATTCTTGATGATCCTCGACAAATCACCAAAAGGTATTCAAAACTTAATTAATACTTACTTTAAAAAAATATTATTTGACCAAAAAATGGTAACATTGATTAGCATTAAAAATTAACTGTTCTGTATTATGTGATTTTTTTTGGGGGGGGGGGTAATTATTTATTTATTTTTTCTTTATTTATATGCATTTCACAAATAGTGTTCTCTCCATGAAATTTAGCCCCAAGAAGTAATTGAAGTTAGGTTTGAAAATTATTTCTTGAGATCCCAGTAGGATTTGCTATGGAGTGCCTTTAGAAATGTAGAGATTTATATGTGCAGGGTTAATCTAACTCTAAATTTCTGTATGAGTAGTCTACTTTTAGGTCTGAAATTATTAAATGTATTATTTTTAAATAATTTATAAAGAGCATTGTTTCTTGTTTTGTTGTTTTATGTTTTTAAATATATCTTTATTGATTTCAGAGAGGAAGGTAGAGGGAGAGAGAGATAGAAACTTCAATGATGAAAGAGAATCTTTAATTGGCTGCCTCCTGCACACTCCACACAGGGGATCAAGCCCCCAAACCAGGTATATGCCCTTGATCAGAATCAAGCCTAGTACCCTTCAGTCCTCAAGCCAACACTCTAGCTGCTCAGTCCAATTGGCTAGGGCAAAGGGCATTATTTTTATGAAGAGGCAAGTTTGGGAAGTCAGTGGAGAATATAGTGCTTAGAAGGAGAGGACAGGAACTCTTAGACAAGTCATAATCACTCAGGACCTCTGTTTTTTCAGAGAGCACTTATAGGGAATGAGCAATATATTATGTGAAAGCACTTTGTAAAATATAAAGCACTAAATAAATATTAATAATTAATTAGTTTCTGCATCAGAAGTATATGTCTGAAAGCTGTTTGACTCTATATGAATTTGGTTTGCTATCACATATTATTCTATAATTTGCTTCCCCTCCTTAAAATAATATATTCAGAACTTCTTTTCATTGATATGAATAGACCTCATCCTTATAAATAATAGTGAAATAACCCATTGAATTACAGTTTGAGTTATAATTAATGTGGTTTTCTGTTCATATTTATCAAAATTATTTTGAAAGACATGAAGTATCTCATATTCAAATAAGGTATGCTGGAATAATGAATTTAGTTTTAATTTTGTTGGCTCTGAGTTAGAACTTGCATAATTTACTTACTACCCCAGATGACATTGCTGCGTAATTCGAGTGTTGAATGCCTTTAGAAAATTGTTCTATTTTAAGCAATTGTTTTTTATTTATATATGTATGTATAACTTAACAAGTAATCTGTATTTATTGACACCTAATGGTGCCTAATACTGTGCAAGCAGTGTTGTTTTATCTTGCTTCTAATTTGGACTTTTTAAAACATTAATATTATATTTTGTGCACTATTTATCTTTTATGCAATGTTTTAGTTTTAATATTACATTTTATGCACTAACTTTCTAAATTTGGGTACCATAAATTTTCATTAATTTGTTTGAAATGGGTAACTTATGATTTTCTGGTAATCAGATATAATGATTACTGTCACCGAGATTGGTTTTAGCCATCTATCCTAATAAAAGAGAAATATGCACATTATCCATTACAGTGTCATGTCATGACCAGAACAGCAGGCTGTGTCCCCGCCCTCTGCTCAGGCAGCTGCAAGGCCCGGGGTAGGATAGGATTCAATAGGATGGGATAAGAAAGGAGACGGAGAGGGAGGCCGGCCTGCATCTAGACAGGACAAGAGGAGAAACAGAAATATAGAAAGGGAACAAGAAAAAAGACACAGAAATGGAAAAGAGAAGGAAATGCAGGGCTGCACTTGGGAGAGGGGAGCAGGTGTGCCCAGTAAGGGACAGGGAGGGTGGTGGCCCCCAGCACGGGTCCAGGATGGAGTGGTGGATGGTCCGAGGCCTTCTAAGCAAAGGCACTCCTGCTTTGCGGCAGCAGCAGCGCCTGGGCTGTGTGGGCCACCCTCACTAGGCCGGGCATCCTGGGCAGGGAATGTGAGCAGGACAGCAGCGGGGAGGCTGGGGAAGTGGGGGCGGCGAACATCTGGCTGAGGCTGAGCCCTGGGCTGGGAGTTAACGCTCTCGCTCCATCAAAAAACTAATAGACTTAATAAATGAATTTGGCAATGTAGCAGGATACAAAATTAATACCAAGAAATCTATGGCATTTCTATACACCAATAGTGAACTTGCAGAAACAGAGACTAAAAAGGCAATCCCAATACCACTGCACCAAAAAAATTAAGATACCTAGGAACAAACTTAACTAAGGAGGTAAAAGACCTATACGCAGAAAACTACACGACACTGAAAAAAGAGATAGAGGAAGATGTAAACAGATGGAAGAACATACCATCTTCATGGACTGGTAGAATCAACATCATTAAAATGTCCAAACTTCCCAAAGCAATCTATAGGTTCAATGCACTCCCCATTAAAATACCAAAGGCATATTTCACTGACCTAGAAAGAACTCTCCAAAAATTCATTTGGAACTATAAAAGACCCCGAATAGCCACAGCAATCCTGAGAAAGAAGAGTAAAGTAGGAGGGATTGCAATACCAGATTTCAAGCTGTATTACAAAGCCACTGATATCAAAACAGCCTGGTATTGGCAAAAGAACAGACATATAGATTAATGGAATAGATTTGAGAACCCAGATATCAACCCAAATCACTATGCTCAGTTAATATTTGACAAAGGAGGCACGAACATACAATGGAGTCAAGACAGTCTCTTCAATAAATGGTGTTGGGAAAATTGGACAGATACATGCAAAAGAATGAAACTAGATCACCTACTTACACCATACACAAAAATAAACTCAAAATGGATACAGGACTTAAACATAAGACGGGAAACCATAAAAATACTAGAGGCATCCACTGGCAGCAAAATCTCAGACATATGCCAAAAGAACTTCTTCACTGATACTTCCCCTAGGGCAATGGGAGCTAAAGAGAAAATAAACAAATGGGACTACATCAAAATAAAAAGCTTTTTTTACAGCAAAAGAAACCATCAACAAAACAACAATAAAGCCCACTGTATGGGAGGACATATTTGCAAATGTTATCACTGATAAAGGTTTAATCTCCAACGTCTACAGATAGCTTATACAACTTAATAAAAGGAAGATAAATGACCCAATTAAAAAATGGGCAACGGATCTAAATAGAATCTTCTCAAAAGAAGACAGAAGGAAGGCCAAGAGGCACATGAAAATATGCTCAAAGTCACTAATAATCCGAGAGATTTAAATCAAAACAACAATGTGGTACCATCTCACACTTGTCAGAATGGCCAACATCAACAAATCAATAAACGACAAGTGTTGGCAAGGTTGCGGAGAAAATTGAATCCTTGTGCACTGCTGGTGGGAATGTAGACTGGTGCAACCACTGTGGAGAACAGTATGGAGCTTCCTCAAAAAACTGAAAATGAAACTCCCATTTGACCCAGTAATCCCACTCCTAGGAATATATCCCAAGAAACTAGAAACACCAATCAGAAAGGATATATGCACCCCTATGTTCATAGCAGCACAATTTATAATAACTAAGATTTGGAAACAGCCTAAGTGCCCATCAGCAGATGATTGGATCCCAAAACCATGGTACATCTACACAATGGAATATTATGCTGCCATAAAAAGAAGGAATTCTCATCATTTGCAGAATTGGAGAACATCATGCTGAGTGAAATAAGCCAGTCAATGAAAGAGAAACACCACATGATCTCACTCATTTTGATAATAAAGAACATTATAAACTGATGAACCAAAAGATAGATATAGAGACAGTAAAGCAACAAGCAGACTGTCAAATTATAGCGGGGAGGGTAGGGAGATCTGGGGTAGATAAGAGACCAACCGAAGGACTTGTGTACATGTATATAAGGACAACCAATGGACACAAAACTCTGGGGAAGGAGGGCATTTATGGGAAGGGGAGAGCAATGGTATATGTACACAGATAATAATTTAATAAAAAGAAAATTAAAAAAAAAGAAGGGAGGTAGGCCAAAACCAGTTTGGCGCAGTGGATAGAGCCTCAGCCGGCAGACTGAAAGGTCCCAGGTTCGATTCTGGCCAAGGGCATGTACCTTGGTTGCGGGCACATCCCCAGTAGTGAGTGTGCAAGAGGCAGCTGATCGATGATTCTCTCTAATTGATGTTTCTAACTCTCTATCCTTTTCTCTTCCTCTCTGTAAAAAAATCAATAAAATATATTTTTAAAAAAGAAGGGAGGGAGGGAGGGAAGAGTCAGTAGAGAGTAAAGTAGGAAAGAGTGAACTGTAGGAGCTGTAATGAAAATCAAGTATAGTTGTGTACTGGGGACAGATGTTAAAAGTAGGATTCAGAAAAGAAAGATAAATTACAGTGAATAATTAGGCAGGTAGATAGATAGATATTAAAATAGTGGAAGTAATTAGAGAAGAATGTATGGTAAAGGTAGGGTGAGAGAAAAAGAGGAAGGGAAGAAAAGTTTTAAAAGGGAACTGGTAGCCAAGACCGATTTGGCTCAGTGGATAGAGCGTCGGCCTGTGGACTGAAAGGTCCTAGGTTCGATTCTGGTCAAGGGCATGTACCTTAGTTGCGGGCACACCCCCACTAGGGGGTGTGCAAGAGGCCACTGGTCGATGATGATTCTCTCTCATCGATGTTTCTAACTCTCTATCCCTCTCTCTTCCTCTCTGTAAAAAATCAATAAAATGTATATTTTTTAAAAAGGGCGGGGTGAACTGATAGAGCTTAAAAGGAGAATAGGAAGGAGGAAGAAATGGAGAAGGGAGCAAAGCAGGTCCAAGGGAGGAAGTAAAGAAAAAAATTAAGGAGGGAAGGAAGGAAAAAGGAAGGAAGGGAGGGTAGATGAAAGATGGGAAGAAAAATGATGGAACAGAAGTAGGAAATAAGAAGGAAAGAAAAGTATATAAATGATGAGTCAGTAGGAAAAAGTGTTCCATAAAGGAGAGAGAAAAATTGTGTGAGAGGGTGAAGCCAATAAGGAAGACAAATACAATTATGTATAAAGGGGATAATATTTTTAAAAAGTTAATAGGTGTGACCATGCCAGCAGGGGAGAGCAGTTAGGGGGTCAGGCCACCAGGGAGGGCAGTTAAGGGGATAAGGCCGGCAGGGAAGGGCATTAGGGGGATCAGGCAAGCAGAGCAGTTAGAGCAGGCAGGCAGGTGAGGTGAGCAGTTAGTAGCCAGAGGTCCTGGATTGTGAGAGGCAGTTGGATGTCCCCCGAGGGTTCCTGGATTGGAGAGGGTGCAGGTCGGGTTGAGGGACCCCCCGCCCATGCATGAATTTTGTTGCACTGGGCCTCTAGTAATCACATAATATGACAACATAGTAGTATAATAATCTTCCAGCAAATCACTCTTTAACAGATGGTTTGAAGACCTACATTATCTCTAATTTTGTGCATTCTAATTCACTAATTTAAAAAATTGGAAAAGAGAATAAACAAAAAGAATCTGCTAGGAATCAGTATGTTTCTTCCATTTCATAATTTGTTGAAGAATATAACATGTAGTTAAACTTTCTGTTTTACAGTACATTTGGATTAATCAGTGTACCCTTTAGTAGTCATTATTTAAGTCTCCCTTTTTTCCTTCGTACAGAGGTCTAGAAGATCGAGCCCACAGTGAGCAGTATAATGCTTTTTTTAGGCTGCCCAAAGAAGAGACTTTGAAAGAAGTACATGAATGTTTTTTATGGGTGCCATTCAGCCACTTCAATGCTCATGGCAAAATGTGCATCTCAGAGAACTATATCTGCTTTGCTAGCCAGGATGGCAATCTATGCAGTGTAATCATTCCATTTCGAGAGGTAATGTAAATTTGGTTGCATACCAGTTTTTAGTTTGAAGATGTTATCATTCAGAGTAAAATTTCCTTTAATTCTATAAATTATTAAAAACTCATTATGCCACATTATTTTAGTATTTTAGATAATAATTTTTTAAGTCCAGCATTATTCTTCAGTATAAAAGTACTAAGCCCTATAGCTCTTATTGAAAATGAAAAAAGTTAGATAAAAATTTAGAAGATAAAGGTTTAGGATGACTCAAAACGGAACATGATTAGTCTGATGTATATGACATGAACACCAAAACTTAGATATTTGATATACACAATGATAAAAAATAGAATTGATAGCTTTTGTGTAATCAAAAATAGCATTGCACCACTAAACGGAATTATAATTTTTAAAGACTACATGTTAGTTAAGACTTTCCCTTGAAAAGTTAAATAACTTGCACTTTATCAGTGGTACAACTAGTATATAAAGTCTATTTCTTCTTTTTAGGATAATGAGAAATTTTATTATTTAAATTTTTTTTTCAATACTTTTTTCAAAGTATATATTAACTTTAGGTATATAGTGTAGTGATTAGATATTTACACCCCAATAAGTCTAGTACCCCCTGAAATCATACATAGTTATAATACTAGTGATGTGGTGCATGGACTTGTGCACATTGAAATGAAATTAATTAGAAGGTGGCCAGTGGGGTAGGACTGGGCGAGATGGGCCAGACACACTTTGAAGCTAACCTCCTGGGGTCCCTCCGGCAGGTGGGGTCCATCAGCCTGGCCTGTGGGGATCTGGTCGAAACCAGCTCTCCAACATCCACTGAGGGGTCCTGGAGTGCGAGAGGGCACTCTGCAAAGTTGCTATAGTATAGGTTGTGGAATGCAAATGCAAGTGTGCAGTAACCAGATTCAGGGCCAATAGTGACCCAGCAACAACATAACCCACAGCCAAAGGTGTAATCATGCAGCCCCGCTAGGAATCAGGCTCCCTCCTCTCTGGTTTCGGGGTGCGTGACCCAAGAACCACCACTGGCAAGTCACTGCTGCTCAGCAGCTCCTGCATTGAGCATCTGTCCCCTGGTGGTTGGTGTGTGTCATTGTGACCAGACCGTCAGACACTTAGCATATTAGCCTTTTATATATATAGATTACTGACTATATTCCTTATGCTATACTTTATATCCCCATGACTGTTTTGTAACTGCCGATTTGTATTTCTTAATCACTTCACCAGCTCCCCAAACCTCTTCTTATCTGGCAACCATTAATTTTTTTCTCTGTATCCATAAGTTTCTTCTTTTAAATTTGCTTTATTTTTCTGCTGAATTGTGTACTTGCTCCTAGTTAAGTTAGATTTTTTTAAAAAAATGTATTCTAATCATTAGCACAGGGAGCAACACCTTACCAATAAGCAAATAATAAAACAAATTAGGTCCCACTGGTTATGGCTACATCTAAGGTGTTGGGATGATCAGGAATTCCTGTTTGCGTTAGTTTTTAGTTCTTGATTATATCTCCAAATACGAAAGAGCTGAGAGGCTCCTGCTGCCCCAACAAAGAAATTAATAGCAAACAGACTCAGGTTTTTTGGAATAATTACAAGTCAGTATCTTGACCAAATAAGCCTTGTAATCATCAAAACATCAGACTAAGCTGTACTGAGATTTTCTGAAGGTCAAGCCATGTCAGCCAATCCAGCACACAACAACCCCCATGTCATAATTGGAGCTCAGAAAAAAACTGTTCTGCCAAATGGTTGTACAGTGGCTTCAATTTCTCAGGCAGCTTGAGATCCACTTTATTGAAGACCTGGTAGTAGATGGCCCTCAGGCCGTGGACACCAGTGGATAACATCTCTGTGGATGAGGGATCATGGCCAGGCAGACGGATGGCCGTGTACTCATCCCTGGCTGATAATGAAGGGCAGCTTTTCATTTTCCTTGCCTCACGTCCTCCTGTTCCCTGGGGAGCTTACCCCGCCACCACTCAGCCTGTCTCCTCTGTGAATAACCCCAGAGTTGGTCCAGGAGAAGACTGAGGAGGCCTGTATCTATAAGTTTCTTTCTGTTTTGTTTGTTCATTTATTTTGTTTTTTAGATTCCACATATAAGTGAAATCATATGGTATTTGTATTCTTCTGTCTGACTTATTTCACTTAGCGTAATACCTGCTAAGTACATCTTGCTATCACAAATGGTAACATTTTATTCTTTTTTATGGCTGACTAATATTCCATTGTATATAAGTACCATGACTTCTTTATCCCGTCTCTATTGATGAACACTTAAATTGATATCATATTTTGGCCATTGTACTAGTAAATAATGTCACATTGAACAGAGGATGCATATATCTTTTTAGATTTCTTGGGATAAATAACAAGAAGATAGAATGATAGTTATGGTTTTAATTTTTTCAGGAACATGCATACTCTTTTCCATAGTGGCAGCACAAATTTTCATTCTCACCAACAGTGCACAAGGGTTCTTTTTTTCTCCACATCCTCTCCATCACTTTTTTTGTTGATTTTTTTATAATAACAGTTATTTAGATAGGTGTGAGGTAAGATCTCATTATGGTTTTTCAAAGTTTATTATTTAATAAGTCATACCAGAAACCTAAACTTTAGCCACAAAAGAATAAGCTAAACACATTTTGCTTAGAAGTGTAAGCATCAAGGGAGAATGTGATTCATTTATAATATGTTTTTACCCCCCAGGTCTTAGCTATAGATAAAACACATGATTCCAGCAAATCTGTCATCATTAGCATCAAAGGAAAAACAGCTTTTCGCTTCAGTGAAGTTATAGACTTTGAACAACTGGTGGCAAAACTCAGGCTCAAGTGTGGGACAACTTCAAATCAATATCACGATATTAACACAGAGGTAATTATATAACAATCAAATAATTTTTAAAAAAGGTGTGTTTTGTGTGGTCCATTATTTCAAATGTGATCCATAATGACTTCCCTATTCATTCTTATATTTAACTAGAGGCCCAGTGCACGAAATTCCTACACGAGGCGGGGTAGTCCCTCAGCCCGCCTGCACCCTCTCCAATCTGGGACTCCTCGGCGGATGTCCGACTGCCTCTTGCAATCCAGGACCACTAGCTCCTAACTGCTCACCTGCCTGATTGCCCCTAACCACCTCTGCCTGCCTGCCTGATCACCCCTAACTGCTCCCTAATCGGCCTGGTTGCTTCTAACTGTTCCCCTGCTGGCCTGGTCATACCTAACTGCCTCTGCCTCGCCCTGTACCCAGAACCCAAGATTCCCTCCTCCGGCTGGTTGCAGGCACCCAGGACCCAGGCTTCCCTTCCTCTGGCTGGCCACAGGCACCCAGGTCCTGGGCTGGCCACAGCCGCAGGGGATCATGGACAGGCGGCTTTGCTTGGGCCATAGCCTCAGGTGCCCAGGGCTGCTTGGCAGGGAGCTTGTCCCTTTTCTGGGCCACATCCCCAACTGTGGCACCTGGAACTGTGGGGCGGGTAGCTTGTCCCTCTCCTGGGCTGCAGCTTACTGGTCCCTATCCCTCTCTCGCAAGCTTATTTGTGCCTGGCTCGTCCCCATTCCTCTCTCACGAGCTCATTTGTGCCTGGCTGGTCAGTATTCTCTCCCCAGTATTGAGTGTTTGAGCCATTAAGATATGAGGGCATGATGACCATTTGCATATTAGCTCTTTATTATATAGGATTTTTAAAAAGACTAATACAAAAGAAATTGTATTCTCTAAGACCTATTATAAAGCTGAATTGAGAATTAGGAATGTATCCTTTTTAGGAACTCATATTTTCTTTTTTTAACAATTTTTTTTTTTAAATTTTATATTTGTTAATCCTCACCTGAGGATATTTTTTTCCCCATTGATTTTTAGTGAGAGTGGAAGGAAGGAGGAGATACACAGAGAGAGAGAAACATGGTTTTGAGAGAGAGACTATCTATTGGTTGTGACCCAGGCCTGGATCTAGCCCACAAACGAGGTATGTGCCCTTGACCAGAATCAAACCTGTGACCCTTCAGTCTGCTGATGATGCTCTAACCACTGAGCTACCAGCTAGGGCAACAATATTTTTCTTATTTTTATTTATTTTTTAAATATATTTTTATTGATTTCAGAGAGGAAGGGAGAGGGAGATAAGAACATCATTGATGAGAAGCAATAATGATTGACTGCCTTCTGCATGCCCCACACTGGGGATTGAGCCCACAACTGGGGCATGTGACCTTAACTAGAATCGAACCTGGGACCCTTCAGTCCACAGGCCAGTGCTCTATCCGCTGAGCCAAACCTGGGAGGGGAACAATTTATTTATTTTTAATTTTTAATTTTAAAATATATTTTATTGATTTTTTACAGAAAGGGAGAGGGATAGAGAGTAAGAAACATCGATGACAGAGAAACATTGATCAGCTGCCTCCCGTATTCAATCCACAGACCGACACTCTATCCACTGAGTCAAACTGGTCAGGGCAACAATTTATTTTTTATTTATAGTTTACATTTAATATCTTAATATTAATTTATATTAGTTCTAGGTGTACAGAATACTGGTTATGCAATCACATACTTTACAAAGTGTTTTCCCCGATATTTCAAGTACCCACTTGCCTGGCACCAGGCATAGTTATTACAGTATTATTGACTATATTCTCTATGCTGTACTTACTTCCCCACCATCATCATCATCATTTTGTTTTTGTTAATCCTCACCTGAAGATATTTTTTTCCGTTGATTTCTAGAGAGTAGAAGGGATGGGGAGAGACAAAAAGAGAGAGGAACATCAATATGAGAGACATATCAATTGGTTGCTTCCCACTGTCAACCCGACCTACTCTGGGGATCAAGCTTGTAACCAAGGTATGTGCCCTTGACTGGAATCAACCCTGTGATTTTCTAACCACTGAGCATTAGCTAGGGCCTCATGATTATTTTGTAACTACCAATTTTTACTTCTTTTTAAAATATATTTTTGTTGAATTCAGAGAGAAAGGGAGAAGGAAAAAGAGAAACACCAATGATGAGAAAAAAACATAGATTGGTTGCCTCCTGCACGTCCCCAGTGGGGATCAAGCCCACAACCCAGGCATGTACCCTGACCAGGAATTGAACTGTGACTTCCAGGTTCATAGGTCAGTGCTCAACCATTGAGCACACTGGTTGGGCCCAATTTGTACTTTTTAATCTCTTCACCTGGCACCATACATATTTATTACAATATTATTGACTATATTCTCTATGCTGTATTTTATATCCTCATGGTTATTTTGTAACTACCAATTTGTACTTCTTAATCTCTTCACCTTTTTCAATTTTGTTTTCTCTTTCTTTAGATTTCACATGTAAGTGAAATTATATGGTATTTTTCTTTCTCTGAAGGACTTATTTCACTTAGCATACCCTCTAGGTCCATCCATGCTGTTGAAAATTATAAGATTTCATTCATTTCTATGGCCAAGTAATATTCCATTGTATATACTGTATATACTAGAGGCCTGGTGCATGAAATTTGGGCACTTGGTGGGGAGTCCCTCAGCCTGTGCCCTGTCAAGGTCCAGAAGCCCTTGTGGGATTTCCAACTGATGGCTTAGCCTTGAGCTTGGCTTCTGGCTGAGCGGTGCCCCCCCCTGTGGGAGCACACTAACCACCATTGGGAAGCTCCTGTGTTGCATATCTGTGCCCTGGTGATCAGTGCACGTCATAGCGACTGGTCATTCTGCGATTCGGTCGGTTTGCATATTAGCCTTTTATTATATAGGATATGTACCACAACTTTCTTATCCACTCCTCTGTTGGTGACACTTGGGTCACTTCTATTTTTTTACTATTATAAACAGTGCTGCAATGAGCATAGGGTTGCATACATACTTTACATTTTTTAATTTTTTGAGGTAATTCCATACTGTTTTCCACAGTGGCTGCACTAATCTGCAAAACCACCAACAATGCAGGAGGCTTCCCTTTTCTTCACATTATCACTAAAACTTGTTTGTTGACATATTGATAATAGCAATTCTGAAAGGTGTAAGGTGGTACCTCATTGTGGTTTTAATTTGCATTTATCTGATGATTAGTGGTATTCACCGTCTTTTTATATGTTGAATGGCCATCTGTATATTTTATTTGGAGAAATGTCTATTCAGTACCTCTGTCCTTTTTTTTTATCCTCACCTGAAGTTCGATTCCTTATTGATGAGAGAAAGAGAGAGGGGGGGGGAGGGGGAGGGGGAGGGGGGGGGAGAGGGAGAGATAAAATATCAATTGGCCACCTCTCATCTCGCATATGCACCCTGACCTAGGTAGGGTTGAACCCACAACCTAGCTGGAAATTGTACCTGCCACCTTTTGGTGTATGAGTCAGTGCTCCAACCAACAAGCCACCCAGCCAGGCCCATTTTTTAATTGGATTGTCTCTGTTTTTTTGCTTTTGAGTTGTCTGAGTTCTTTATAAATTTTGGATATTAACCCCTTATTAGTTGTATCATTGACAAATACCTTCCCTCATTTAGTAGGTTATATTTTTTGTTTTGTTGATGATTTCCTTTGCTATACAAAAACTTTTTCCTTACCCATTGTATGTTTTTTCCCTTTTTGTCAAATTAATTGTCTATAAAGGCATTTATTTTTGGGCTCTTTATTCTGTGCAAATTGTTCTATGTGTCTGTTTTTGGTTTTTGCCATTACCATGCTATTTCGATTACTATGGTCTTATAGTATAGTTTAATATTAGGTAACATGATACCTACAACTTTGTTCTACTTTCTCAAGATCACTGTTGTTATAGAGGGTCTTTTGTGGTTCCATATAAATTTATTGGCATAATTGTTTGTAGCATTTTCTACCACTCTCTCTAAAAGATCAATGGAAAAATATCCTTGGATGAGGATTTGTTTTTTTAAAAAGTAATGTTTTCTTACAGTCCCTTCTATTTCTTTGGTTTCAGATATTATTTCTTTCATTTTTATATTATTTATTTGGGTCCTTTGTCTTTTTTCTTAATGAATGTGGTTAAAGGTTCATCATTGTTTATCTTTTCAAACAACTATGTAGCTCTTGGTTTCATTGATTTTTTTTTATTGTTGTTGTTTTTTTACTCCTTTTATTTCTGCTCTGATATTTATTATTTTCTTCTTTCTTCCTCCTACTCACTATGGGCTTTTTTGTTGTTCTTTTTTTAGTACCTTTAAGTGTAAAGTTAGATTGTTTATTTGATCTTTTTCTTCTTTCTTAAGATAGGTCTGTAAAGCTATGATTTTCCCTCTTAGGACTGCTTTCCATGTATTCCACAGATTTTGGGTTCTGTGTTTTCATTTTCATTTGTTTCAAGGTATCTTTTGATTTCTTCCTTGATGTCATTGCTAACCCATTCATTGTATAGTATTACTTAGCCTCCATATTTTTGTGTTTTTTCACTTTTCTTGTGATTGATTTCTAGTTTCAGAGCATTATGGTCAGGGAAGTTGCTTGATATGAGTGGCTATAAATAAAATTCTTGTGTTGATTCTTTAAGAGGGTGCTCTGGTGACAGAGATCATGATGCTTTTCATAACAGGATGTTATGTGAGCATCATTTCTGGTTCTGGTGCTCTAGGCTTGAGGGTCTGGCTTGTGGTTTAGACCCTAAACTTTTCAAGGGGAAACCCCCACAGCTGAGATATCCCCATAGAATCCCAGCCAGCACTCTCATGCCTCCATAGTCTCAATATGGCTACTTCTATAAGTCCTTGGTTAATAAGACTTCTCTCTAGCTAGTCTTCAGTTTGTTATTTAGGATGATTTATATATAATTTTATTTTTTATTTTTATTTTTAAATAAATCTTTATTGTTCATACTATTACAAATGTTCCTCATTTTTCCCCCCCTCCATTGCTCCCCTCCACCAGGTTCCCACCCCACCCTCTGCCCTTTCCCTACCTCCCAATGTCCTCATCCATAGGTGCACAGGTTTTTTTTCAGACTCTTTCCACACATCCCACTCCCCTTTTCCCCGAGAATTGTCGGTCCACTCCCCTTCCATACCTCTGATTCTATTATATTCACCAGTTAATATTATTCATCAGTTTTTTAATTCTCTTGGCTTTTAGTTTCACTTGTTGATAGTTACGTATTTGTTGATCATAATTTTTATCTATATCTTCTTCCTCTTCCTAAAGAACCCCTTTAAGCAATTCATATAATTCTGGTTTGGCGGTGATGAACTCCTTTAGATTTTTTTTATTTGTGAAGCTCTTTGTCTGATTCTGAGTGATAGCTTTGCTGGGTAGAGTATTTTTGGCTGTAGGTTCTTGCTATTCATCACCTTGAATATTTCTTGCCATTCCTGTCTGGCCTGCATGGTTTCTGTTGAGAAATCAGCTGACAATCGTATGGGTGCTCCTTTATAGGTAACTACCTGCTTTGCTCCTGCTGCTTTTAATATTCTCTCTTTGTCTTTTGCTCTTGGAATTTTTTAAAAATATATTTTATTGATTTTTTACAGAGAGGAAGGGAGAGAGATAGAGAGCTAGAAATGTCGATGAGAGAGAAACATCGACCAGCTGCCTCTTGCACACCCTCCACTGGGGATGTGCCTGCAACCAATGTACATGCCCCTGACTGGAATCGAACCTGGGACCTTTCAGTCCACAGACCGATGCTCTACCACTGAGCCAAACCGGTTTCGACTGCTCTCGGAATTTAAATTATGATGTGTCTTGGTGTGGCCCTCTTTGGATTCCTTTTGTTTGGGGTTCTGTGAGCTTTCTGGACTTGTAAGTCTATCTCTTTCCCCAGGTGGGGGAAGTTTTCTGTCACTATTTCTTCCAGTATTCTTTCAGTATCTTGCTCTTTCTCTTCTTCTGGGACCCTCATAATTCTGATGTTGGTTCGTTTGAAATTGTCCCAAAGGTTCCTTACACTATCTTCAACTTTCTGAATTCTCTTATCTTCTTGCTTCTGTGGAGGAGTGTCCTCTGGCTCTTTGTGTTCCAAATCTTTGACTTGATTCTTGCGATCTTCCATTCTGTTTTTAGGACTCTGTATAATATTTTTTACTTCAGACAATGTATTCTTTATTTCTAGTTGATCCCTTTTCATATCCTCATAGGTTTCATTTATTTTATTGGCCTTTTCTAGGAAATTCTTGAAAAATCTTATAAGCTTGGTTTTGAACTCTATATCCAGTCGCTTCTTGTCCTCCACTTCTTTTGTTTGTGATCTGTTTCATTGTCTCGGAATTTTCACAGCTTCCCTGAGTTGGTAGTGTGGCTTTGTGTGTTAAGGTGTCCTATATGGTTGAGTGGGTCAGCCTCCCAGTTACCAGAGGTGGACAGTCTTGGTGTAGCCCTTTGTGGGCTATGTGTGCAGTCTTGTTGTTAAGCCTTGCTTGTTGTTGGTATCACTGGGAAGGGTTGATCTCCAAGCCAATTGGCTATGAGGATCAGATGTGTCTCAGCTAGGAGAGTTTCTGTATTCCGCTTGGATGGGGTGGAGTCTCAGGGTGGCACAGCCAAGCTTTGGTGAATCCCGCAAGATTAGTTGCAGCTGCGCGCACCGCTTTGGTATAGGGCAGACAAGCTTTGTATTGCTGTCTGTCCCTCCCTTGGAGAGTCCTATTTGCAGCAAACTAGAAAACTAGCCATTGGAGGGGCTTCTGTGCTCCGCTTGGATGGGGCGGAGTCTAGGGGTGGTGCAGACAAGCTTTATTCAGCCCCTCCCTACGAGGGTCTGGTTTCTGAGTCCCACAGTAGTGGCCGCTGGCTTCACACACCTCCGAGAGATCTCTGCCCACTGCCTGACAGTCTGTCCTCTCCCTGTCTGGGGCCGTCTATCAGAGCAATAGGACAGTTCTGTTTTCCTCCCGAACAAGAAAGCTAGCTGCGCATTAGCTGTGTGCTCTCTCCATGCACCGGGAGTAAGCCAGCAGCGAACTCGGCCCGCCCTCTCTGCGCTCCGCAAGCAAGCCTGCAATGAACTCTGCGGCCGCCTTTTCGCACGCACAGTTCTTCACACCTTCACAGTTCCTGAGATTCAGCGTGCCTTCTTTCTCTTTCCCAGATGGTAGAGCCTCCTCTCAGCCAGCCGTCTGGCACTTCAGGGCGATGTTTCCCCTGTTTTCCAGTTCTAAATTCAAATTTGTTGTTATAGGCTGCATTTGGGTGTTTACCCTATGCCGCCATCTTGGTTTCTCTCTGATTTGTATATAATTTAATTGTAATTCCAGTTTGGTCCTGGGAGGAGGTTAGTGTAGCTTCCACCTAATCCATTGCTATCTTGGATCACTCTTTATTTTTAATGAATAATCTTTTTTACATTTTTAAAAATTGATTTTTAGAGAGAGTGGAAGAGGGAGAGAAAGAGAAACATTTATTTGTTGTTCCTCTTATTTCGTTGGTTGATTTTTGTATGTGCTCTGACTAGGAATCAAACCCTCAACTTTGGCATATTGGGATGATGTTATAAGCAACTGAGATACCTGGCCAGGGCATCTTTTGCCCACTTTTTAACTGAGTCCTTTATTTTTTCAAGTTTCCTTTAGTTCTTTGAATCTAGTTATAATAGCTGCTTTACATTTTTAGTTTACAAAATCCAAAAACTGGCTTCTCAAGGACATTTTATTGGTTTACTTTTTTGTTGTTTTTTTTTATACTTCTTATTTTTATTTTTAAGCCTGGATGCTTGGATCAGCCAGTGGATCAGTATAAATTGATGGTCAGCCAATGATAGATCAGATTTCCTTAAATGCCCGAAAGCATTAAGTTTACCACCTTTTGCCACGGGGATCTTTGTGTGAAGGTACACCTCAACCTTTTGGCAGTTTACAAATCAGTCTTAGCTTTTATTTCTTACTTCCAAAGCCAGCCAGAGTTAAGTGACTGGGACCTTTTCTTCTATCTCTTTCTTTTCTTGTGCAGGTTTATAGCCCTGCACATGCACGTATACATTTAGATCCCCAAGAATATGCTGGAACCTTTCAAAGTTCCTTATGGCCATCTAGTTCTCCAGGCCTTTCTTTTAAGTTTCTAGCCAGGCTTTTGTTTTCAATATACATAATTAGGTTTAGACAGCTGTGATGTAATTAGTATATTGCTATTTTTTTTTCTAACAGAGAAGGGACTTTTTTCACAGAGCTGAGCTCTGAATCAAATCAAATGATAACACCCTGCAAATAGGGATTTTTCCAGAGAGGTGATACTTTGGTCAAAATACTGACTGTGTCCTAGGGATGGGAATTTTAGTGAAGCTCCAATGAAAGATCCTTGCGTATGAAAATGCTGGCTTTCATGGCTACCATACCTCTGAGCTTGAGAGGGTAGCAAATAGGAATAGCCTCAAATTAAAATTTCACAGATTGGAGTGTTCTTGTTGATGTTCACTCATTTTACTTGAATTGATGCTTTTCCATTTGTTCTGTGCCTTTGGTTAATTTCTTATGTTCTGTGTGGTTTTTTTTTTTATAACATTTTGCAAGTATTTTATTGCTTTTGTAAGGGAGTGGCTTGGTTCACTTAGGTCCTGAGTTTTCTGTTACAGATATTAATTTGTTGTGTCTATAATTTTGATAGAAAAATAATGTCTCCTGGTCTCCTTAAAATATTGCTTTTAAAATATTTATTATGCATATAAATTATGGTTTATAAATAATAAATAAAACATCACTTTTCTTTTTGTAAAAACTATTAAGCATACACTTGGAATAATTACATTCTTTCTTTTTTAGGTTCCTATTAGTTCTCATTCTACAGATCCATCTGATAATATTGAGGTACAATCTTTGCCATGTCAAAGGGAATACAGTGAAACTGTGAACACTGAAGCCTTAATGACAGTATATCACCCTCAGAATATGGAGACTCTTAATTCCAAAATGGTATAGAAACAAAATATTTATTACTGTGGACTAAAACTCTTGATCAAAAATAAAAGTCTTAGAACAGACCAGCGGTCGCCAACCTTTCAGACCTAAGACCACCAGTGGTCAGCGGACCACCGGTTGGCGACCGCTGGACTAGAAGGTACCACAATTGAACACTCTTTTGGGGCTTGAAAAAGTTTTCTAGCAGGTACTTCTGTGTAACTTGTGTGCTTCCATTACATAAAAGGACTGTACCATGAATTGAGATAAAGGATAAAAGTTGAACATTAGGATTTAATGTATATATTTCTAATAATCAGTCCTAATCGAGTTTATTTGGGGAGAATGATGGTTCAAACCTTTACCTCCTAAAAGTATTGATATTCCCATTTTATATGAGTTTAGCTAAGATTTAAAATAGTAAATTCTGTTACGCTCACATAAATTTAAAAGATTTTTGTGATGCAAGTAGACCAGTTTTGGGCCCACCTGAATACTGATTTTGAGTTTCTACAATCTTTTTTTTTTTTTTTTAAATATATTTTATTGATTTTTTACAGAGAGGAAGCGAGAGAGATAGTTTCTACAATCTTGATTTTCATATGTATTGTTTCATGATGATGAGAGCTATCTAGTTATTTGAAAGAAGTTAATGTCTCATTATCTTTAGTTGCTTAGATTTTTTGTTGTTGTTGTTGTTGTTGTTGTTGTTGTTATAGTTGAAAGAAAAGATGAAGGAACAGTCATGGAATATCCTGTTTTCAGAATGTGGGCGTGGTGTTACTATGTTTCGGACTAAAAAGACTCGAGATCTGGTTATAAGAGGGATTCCAGAGACCTTAAGAGGAGAGCTCTGGATGCTTTTTTCAGGTATTACATTTATTTATTTAGCAGACATTAACTATGTCCCTTCTAGGAGTTATGCATCAGGCTAATGAAAAATAATTGCAAAGATGGCTAGGATAAAGTCTTATTCATCATGAATCCAAACTAATCATAGAAGGAATGTTAGTTTTGTGTACTTACTGATATATCCACATATCTATTGTCTAAAGAGATTATTTCACTAGGCAACTTACAGCTAATTGGTTGGAGGGATCTCTATCTCTAGTGTCAAAGGAAAGTTAAGGGGGAAAACGGTTCATGAAAATGTCATTCTGTTGGATAAGTTTGGTGTTGTCCTCATGTTATAGATTCCAGGATGAAGGTTTTTCTTTTGTTTGTACTCAGATATCACTTGAGCATAAAGCTAAATTTAAAGGTATTCCAATTCTTCATGTATATATGCAAGAAGTAGTTTTTATTACATTCCTCTTCTTTTGTGTGTTAATGTAATCATCTTTATAGGCGCTGTTAATGACATGGCTGCTCATCCTGGCTATTATGCCAAAGTAGTTGAACAGTCCTTAGGGACATGCAATTTGGCTACTGAAGAAATTGAACGTGATTTACGTCGTTCCCTGCCTGAGCACCCAGCCTTTCAGAGTGACACTGGCATATCTGCTCTGAGGCGAGTACTCACTGCTTATGCATACAGGAATCCCAAAATTGGATACTGCCAGGTATGACTTTGTTATGAACACAAATGTATAAATCTTTCAAGTGTTAAAAATCACATCAAATCAATCTCAGATAGTTTGAAAATTAAAGAGGTTGAGTTTTAATTAATAGTGCATATTATTAATTTAAGTAGAATGATAGAATATTTAGGATTATTGAAATTTTATTAATTTTTTTCTCTTTTATATTTAACCAAGTAGAAGACCGGTGCACTAAATTCATGCACGGGGGGGGGGGGGGGGGGAGACACACGTGTCCTTCAGCCCAGCCTGCAGCCTCTCCAATGTGAACCCTCAGAGGATATTCGACTGCTGGTTTAGGCCCAATCTCACAGTCGGACATCCCGCTCACAATCAAGGACTGCTGACTCCCAAGTGTTCACCTGTCTGCCTGCCTGATTGCCCTTAACTGCTTCTGCCTGCCAGCCTGATCACCCCCTAATCGCTTCCCTGCCAGCCTGATCGATGCCGAAATGTTCCCCAGCCAGTCCTATCGCCCCCAACTGCCCTCCCCTACAGGCCTGGTAGCCCCCAACTGCCCTCCCCTACAGGCCTGGTTGCCCCCACTGCCCTCCCCTGCTGACCCAATTGCCCCTAACTCCCCCCTCCCCTACAGGCTTGGTTACCCCCAATTACCCTCCCCTGCTGGCCTGGTCACTCCCAACTGCCTTCCCCTGCCAGCCCGATCACCCCTAACTGCCCTCCCCTGCTGGCCTTTTAGCCCCCAAGTGCCCTCCCCTGTCGGCCTTCTCTTGGTGGCCATCTTGTGATGACATGGGTGTGGCCATATTGTGACCACATGGGCATGGCCATCTTGATCGAGGGCATGATGATCAATTTTCATATTACCTCTTTATTCTATAGGATTATATAGGATGTTCATTGAATCTCTGCTCTGTAAAAAATACAGTTTAGGTGCCAAAGACTATATAAAGATGAATCAGATAAAGATCTTGGCTTTAAAAAGTATATAGACTAGTAGGTCTTAAAATATACTTATTGGCAAATGAAAAAAAATGAGGAAGATTATTAGAGAAATATAAAGTCCTGTTAGGATTTAAAATAGGGAAAATTGTTTTCATCTAGAGCAGGTGTGGGAACCTTTTTTTTTTTTTTTTTTTTTTTTGCCCAGGGCCATTTGGATATTATCATAATATCATTGGAGAGCCATACAAAATTATCAACTTAAAAATTAGCCTGCTGCCTGGCTGGCTGGCGCAGTGGTTGAGTGCTGACCTATGGACCAAAAGGTCATGGTTTTGATTCCCAGTCAGGGCACATGCCCAAGTTGCAGGCTCAATCCCCAGTAGGGGGCATGCAAGAGGCAGCTGATCAATGATTCTTTCTCATCATTGATGTTTTTATCTCTCTCCCCTTTTCCCTTCCTCTCTGAAATCACTAAAATATATATTTTTAAAAATTAGCCTACCATATGTGGTCCAATATTTAACTTACCCTAATGCTTTGTCAGGGCCAGACAAAATGATTTTACAGGCCTTATATAGCCTGGGGGCCAGATGTTCCCCACCCCTGATCTAGAGGAATTAGAGAAGGTTTCATGGAACATGTAGCATTTGTAGGACTTGAAAATTATGAATTTTAGTTTTATGGAGATAGAATGAAAGACTATAGCAGATGAAGGGATCAGTTTAAACAAGCATAGATAAAGGTAAATATGGAATATATATAAGACCCTTTTCTGTTTAGTAGAAGTATGATGAATGTAGCAAAGTAATTGGAGAAAAATAATTACTAAGGTACCTTGGGATAGGTCAGGAGTTTGAACTTTATTTTGTAGGCAATTGCAGAATCATAGAAAAAAAAATCCTTTAGGAGCACACCATATTTATTAGGATATGTTAGGACAATGACACAAATAATTTCAAACAGGTAATATCTCTAAACATTAAAGTTTACTTAAAGGAATAAACAGAGATGAGTGAGTTTTTAAGTCAGTAGGCAACTCTCCATGAGATTATTCAAAGACATAAGCTAGTAACAGGCTTGATCATCTTTAAAACATGGCTTCCAAGGTGCTCTTTTATTGTCATTACTACTCAGAGGAAAGAGGAGAGAGCATGGAGAAAAAATTGTGGGAGATTTTATCAGCTGGACTTGGAAAGTGTTCACATCATTTCACCTACATTCATTTTTTATTTTTTAATTATAATTGACATACATTATTATATTAGTTTCAGGTGTGCACTCCGGTGACTTAATATTATATAACTTACTAAGTGATCATCATCCTTATAAATCTCACACTCATCTATTACCATACATAATTATTGGAATAGTATTGACTATATTCCCTATGCTGTACTTTATATCCCCACAACTATTCTGTAACAACCAATTTGTACCTCTTTCTCTTTTCATTTAAATTCTTTATTGTTTAAAGTATCATATAAGCCTCCTTTTGACCCCTTTGACCTCTCCCCAGCCATCTCCACACCCTAGCACATGCCCACAGTACCCCTTCCCTCCGCTCCTCACCCCCCATTCTCCTCCCACCTCGCCATCCTCATCTGTGACCATTGGTTATGCTCATATGCATGTATACAAGTCCTCTGGATGATCTCTTATCCCCTCACCCCCACCTTCCCTCATAGGTTGGACAGTCTATTACATACTTCTATGACTCTGGTTCTGTTTTTGTTCATCAGTTTATGTTGTTCATTATATTTCACAAATGAGTGACATCATGTGATATTTATCTTTCTCTGACTGGCTTATTTCGCTTAGTATAATGCTTTTCAGGTCTTTCCATGCTGTTACAAATGGTAAGAATTCCTTCTTTTTTACCACAGAATATTCCATTGTGTAGATGTACCACAGTTTTCTATCCACTTATCTGCTGATGGGCACTTAGGCTGTTTCCAAATTTTAGCTATTGTAAAATGTGCTGCTATGAACACAGGGGTACATATATCCTTTCTGATTTCTTGGGATATATTTCTAGAAGTAGATTACTGGGTCAAACGAAGTTCCATTTTTAGTTTTTTGAGGAATTGCCATACTGTTTTCCACAGTGGCTGCACCAGTCCGCATTCCCACCAGCAGTGCAAGAGGGTTTCTTTTACTCTGCATCCTCTCCAACACTTGTCCTTTGTTGATTTCTTAATGATAGCCATTCTGACCTGTGTGAGATGGAACATAATTGTTTTGATTTGCATCTCTCAAATGATTAGTGACTTGAGCATGTTTTCATATGTCTCTTGGCCTTCTGTATGTCCTCTTTGGAAAAATGTCTATTTGCCCATTTTTTGATTGGATTGTTCATCTTCCTTTTGTTAAGTTGTATGAGTTCCCTGTAAATGTTAGAGATTAAACCCTTATCAGAGATAGCATTGACAAATATGTTCTCCCATGTAGTGGATTTTCTTGTTTTATTGATGGTTTCTTTTGCTGCACAGAAGCTTTTAATTTTGATGTAGTCCCATTGTTTATTTTCTTTTTAGTTTCCATTGCCCTAGGAGCTGTATAGATTGATATTGCTATGACAAATGTCTGCTACTTTGCTGCCTATGGCTTCTTCTAAGATTTTTATAGTTTCCCATATTACATTTAAGTCCTTAATCCATTTTGAGTTTATTTTTGTGTATGGTATAAGTTGGTAGTATAGCTTCATTTTTTGCATATATCCAATTTTCCCAACACCATTTATTGAAAGGCCTGTTTTGACTCCATCGTGTGCTCTTGCCTCCTTTGTCAAATATTAATTGAGCATAATGGCTTGGGTCGATTTCTGGGTTTTCTGTTCTGTTCCATTAGTCTATATGTCTGTTTTTATGCCAGTACCAGGCAGTTTTGAGAATAGTGGCTTTGTAGTATAGGCTGATAACTGGTATTGTGATACCTCCAACTTAGTTCTTCTTTCTCAAGATTGCTGCAGCTATTCAGGCTCTTTTTATTTTATTTTATTTTATTTTATTTTATTTATTCCAGGTGAATTTTTGGAGAGTGCATTCTAGATTTTTGAAGTATGCTGTTGGTATTTTAACAGGGGTTGCATTGAATCCATAGATTGCTTTGGATAGTATGGACATTTTAATGATGTTGATTCTACCAATCCATGTAATTTTCTGAGTACAGGTCCTTTACCTCCTAAATTAAATTTATTCCTAGGTATAGTAGTTTTTGGTGCAATGGTAAATGGGGTTGTTTTTTTTTTAGTTTTTTTTTTTTAGTTTCTCTTTCTGTGAGTTCATTATTGGTGTATAAAAAGGCCATAGATTTCTTGGTGTTAGTTTTGTATCCTGCTACATTGCCCAATTCATTTATTAATTCCAGTAGTTTTTTTTATGGAGTTTTTAAATTTTCTTCGTACAATATCATGTCATCTGGGAATAATGACAATTTTACCCCCCCCCCCCCCAATTTGGATGCCTTTTATTTCTTCTTCTTATCTGATTCCTGTGACTAGCACTTCCAGTAATATGTCGAACAGGAGTGGTGAGAGTTGGCATCCCTGTCTTGTTCCTGTTCTTAGGAGAAATGGTTTTAGTTTTTTTCCCATTGATTATGATGTTGGCTATAAGTTTGTCATATAAGGCTTTTATTATCTTGAGGTATGATCCCTCTATTTCCCCTTTGCTGAGAGTTTTTATCAGGAAAGTGTGTTGGGTTTTGTCAAATGCTTTTTCTACATCAATTGATATGATTATATGATTTGTGTCTCTCAATTTGTTTATGTGATGTATCATGTTTATTGATTTGCAGACATTGTACCAGCCTTGCATCCCTGGAATAAATCCCATTTTGTCATGGTGTATGATCTTTCTAAATGTAATACTGAATCCGATGTGCTAGAATTTTGTTGAGTATTTTAGCATCTGCGTTCATCACGGATATTGGCTTGTAATTCTCTTTCTTTGTAGTGTCTTTATCTGGTTTTGTGATTATGGTAACACTGGCTTCATAGAAAGAGCTTTGAAGTCTTCCTTCCTCTTGAATTTTTTGCAATAGTGTGAGAAGGATCGTTTTTAGTTCTTCTTTGAATG